TCTTGTTCGGGCCACAACTTTCATATTCTGCCCTGTGCTTTCTGCTGCTCTTCACTGCGCATGCCCATTGCACTCTGCCCACCCCTGCCCTGCCCTCTCATCACCCTCTCATCACTCCTCCTCCCGGTTCTCCCACAGGAACCTGAGTTCAGCTGATGCTGGCCGCCAGACTATGCGGAACTACTCCGGGCTCATTGATTCCCTCATAGCCTATGTCCAGAACTGTGTGGCTGCCAGCCGTTGCGATGACAAGGTGAGGGTGCAGGCCCCTGGTAACACCTCCATCCCCAACCCTGCGGTCTCTGCCCATAGCTGCAAATCACCGGGCCACACAATTAAGTTAGGGACTCTCCTAGGCCTGGCATTTCTCTCCCCGAACCCATGAGTCAGGGTTATACTTTCCGAGTGCTTGTGGAATGTGTCTCAGGACAGAAGCAGAGTCAGGAACGGTGGAGGAGACACCTGGAACCTGCAAGTGCTCCCTGTGTGGGCTCTGGAGCCATATTGTTTTTGTGGCGGTGAGCCCACAAGAGTGCTCCCAGGGGCACCGTTTCCTTTCTGAAATGAAACTTGTACCAGTACCTCCAGAAACACCATTGGAAGGCCACCCTCTGCCTTCTCTCGACTACTGGATGCAGGGGCATGCACAGATTGAAAGGCAGTTTGTGGAGAAAAGATGAATGGAGACTGGGATACTTCCACCATAGCTGGGCACAGCTCAGGACACAGAGGTCTAGTTTGTCACCACACCCAGGACACCAGGGAGTCAATGAAGGGAGATGTCAATCTCCTGCTTCCTTCACTGGAAGTGATAACAGGCCTTCCAACCCTCCAAGAACAGCCTTGTCATTAAGCTGCAGGACAAAGTGCTCTTCTTCCTCCTGCTCTGTGCACACCTCCTTTACCCAGATAACCCCAAACCAATAGAAGTCAGCTTCAGCCTGACCCTAACAGCGACCAAGTGCTGAGCAAAGTGTAACTCGGCCACGCCCCAGCCCTAGCCTGGAGGCTCACCAAAAGCAAATGCAGCTGGGAACTCAAATGCTGCTGTGAAGTCCTGAGCCAGGTCTCACTGTGCATGGCATCTTTGCCGTTGGAGCTGGGGGGTGACCATGGCAAGAGGGGACAGCAAAGACTAGAGTGACTAGATGCTTTGAAAACCAGAAGGAACAGGGACTGGAGAAGATGCTTTCAGTCTTCTGCCCCGCATATGGTCTGTAGCAATGCAAGTGACCACCACTGTTTGCTCTGTGTGCTATGTGCAAGGCTCTGTGGTTGGTATTTTTCATGTACAGTTGTCCTCTGAAAACCATAGACCTTACTCCAAATTCCCATGCACACCTAAATTCACAGTCTCAAGCCTTTCTTTAAAAAAAAAAAAAGGAGCATATTGCAGTTATATTTGTATATAACCTATACACACTCCTTTGTGTACTTTAAATCATCTATAAGTTATTTATGAAACCTAATATAATATAAATGCCGAATAAATAGTTATTAATAGGGCCAAGAAAGAACTCTATAAGTGTTCAGGAATACTTTTTAAAAAAAACTAATTTCAATTTGCGGTTGGTTGATTCTGTGGTTACATGCAGAACTAAGGGCCTAGTGCATAATCTAGCCTACTAGCCAAGAAAGGTAAGGCTATCCCATTTTACAGTTGAGGAAACTGAGGCCAATAAAGGTGAAGCAAGTCATATAGACACAGACAGCCAGGAAGTGACAGAGGCTGGAATCACGTCTAGTTCCCAGGGTGTACCTGTGAGATCTTTCCAGACTGACAGTGGTACAGGCCATTCTGAATGCTCAGGGTAGGTCCAGAAGTCTGTTGGGACAGTACTCAGGCATTCTGCCCTTGCCCCCAGTCTGTGGAGAACTGCATGTGTATCCTGCATAACCTCTCCTACCGCCTGGACGCCGAGGTACCCACCCGTTACCGCCAGCTGGAGTACAATACCCGCAATGCCTACACTGAGAAGTCCTCCACTGGCTGCTTCAGCAACAGGGCTGACAAGATGATGGTGAGCAGTGTCCATCGTCGAGCCAGGGCCCCCTCCCCAAGCACCCGCCAGGTCTGCTGCCCCCATAGCTCTCTTCCCTTGGAGCCAGAAAACAACCCTAAGGATGGAGCCTTGTCAAAGCCTTGTTCTTGGAAGGACACTACAGTCCTGGGGCTGGGGCAGGGTGTGTCACCTAGAGTGCACAGGAGACACACATAGGCTGTAGCAGCCCAGACCACCCAAGGACAAACACTGCAAGCCTCTTTCTGCAGGCCTCTGTATTCCTCTTACTGTATAGTGGGGGAAACCGTCCTTATCTTTCCCTGATCTCTGAGCATTAGGGAAACAATAGAAAGAACTCTTACTATCCTGGGAATGGTTCCCAGCACCTCATGAGCCTTGTAAGAAAGATGCTGTAGACAACAGCCAGGATATAGAGACCAGGCTTCAGGTTAGCCTGGAGACCCTGAAGTAGCTAAAATTCTCAGCTTCTTGCTGCCATACCCTAGTGTGACCTTACACAATCAGAGGCTCATAGGTGAAGCTGCCCTGGAACATACTTCTGAGTTGCTTCCCAGAGGCCATCTAGAGAACCATGGTCCATCCCCTCACTTTGGAGGTTCTGGGATGTACAGAAGAAAGAGATACAGGGGGACAGTCTTCTCTCATCCTTCCCAAAAGAAGCCACAAACTAAAATTAGAGGGGAGGCAGAATGCTGGGTATGTTAAATCATCAGACTCCTCACTGACATGCTGTCTGTCTACAGAACAATAACTATGACTGCCCACTTCCTGAGGAAGAGACCAACCCCAAGGGCAGCAGCTGGCTGTACCACTCAGATGCCATCCGTACCTACCTGAACCTCATGGGCAAGAGCAAGAAAGATGCTACCTTGGAGGCCTGTGCTGGGGCCCTGCAGAACCTGACAGCCAGCAAGGGGCTGGTGAGGAGCCCCACTCTCCCATTTCTCCAGCTTACCCCCTGCATCTTCCACCAGACTCTCCTTTCCCAGGCTGAGTCTCTCGAACACATCCAGCTCTTAGTAAGCTTCGAGCTAAAGATGTGAACATGTTGGGCCTTGGGCTGATCACCAGAGCAGTGACAGGGGCAGACACACTTGTGCTCTGAGAACTTCTGGGTAATGCCCACAATATAGTCTCTTGCCCTATGGTGCTGACCATTTGGGCTCTGCATGCAGTAGGGGACAGGGATGAGTGTATTTGTCAAGAGAAATCCCCATTTGATGAACTTACAGATAAATCGAGTTTGAGGAACGGGCGGATTCAGAGAAAGTTGGGATAGAATCAGCCTGGAAGTTTAAGGACCGGATGGTGTAGAGTAAAACCAGAGGGTATTTGGTAGATATCCAGCTGTTGTTCCCCAGATATACTTAGGACAAAAGAGACTTGGGCAGCAGTAGACATGGGTATCCTGGGGGTCAAGGTAACTGCCCTAGTTGTAAGGAGGAGTCTAGAGTTTCAAAGGATCCCAAACTGGCCTACATTAGGTCATACCAGGCTGTCGTTTGAGATCCAGATGAGCTGGATTACTTGCAAGGGATTCCAGTTCTGCCTCCGTATGGACCCAGACCCTTTTCAATCCACCTTGATCTCTGACAAGCTGTCGGTAACTGTAGGACTGGATTCTGCAGAGAGTGGGGAGTTTGAAGAAGATAATCAGCTTTTCTTTAACTGTCCTTGGCCCTTGGCCATGTGGTTTCGTGTAAACAGATACAGAGAGGTGTCTGAGATGGAAGAGCTCAGAGTGAGTGGGGATGGAACACTGCTAGTCTAGACACCAATCCTGGGTCACCATGACAGGGACAAATGACACTTTCTCTGGCCACTCACATGAGTTTCAGATTGACCCCACCAGGCACAGGGACACATAGGGGCAGGTAAAGCCTGACCCTTCATAGTCAATTAGGTCTGAGCAATTTTGTCTCCTCACAACTTTAAGATGAAAGAGAAAAGGCTCAGGGTTTTTGGTTGGCTGGTTGGCTGGTTTGGGGTGTTTGTTGGTTGGTTGGCTGGTTGATTGGTTGGTTGGTTTTGCTTGGGATTATCTGCCTCTCTACCAACTATGGTGCCTGGAGGCCACAGACCAGCTCCTCCCTGGATCTTCCCTCTTAGATGTCCAATGGCATGAGTCAGTTGATTGGAATAAAGGAGAAGGGCTTGCCACAAATCGCCCGTCTGCTGCAATCTGGCAATTCGGATGTGGTGCGGTCTGGGGCCTCTCTGCTGAGCAACATGTCTCGCCACCCTGTGCTGCACAGAGTGATGGGTAAGAGCCTCTGTCCTCTCTTCCATCCACACAGGACATGCAGGTCTATGCTTTCTAGAGCCTTCTAGAAGGTCATCCTCAAATTGTTCCATAGTGTGAGTATTCTGAGGGGAAGTTGGCCCAAGAGAGGTGTGGGAATAGGAGGGAATTCTTACCTTATAGATGAATCTACAGAAATCCATCTGAATTATAGAGTCCCTATGGGTCCTTGAGGGGCTACACATTGCTTACTTCCTGACCCTATTCTTCAACTCCTTTCCCTATAGGAAACCAGGTGTTCCCAGAGGTGACCAGACTCCTCACTAGCCACACCGGCAATACCAGCAACTCTGAAGATATCTTGTCGTCAGCCTGCTACACTGTGAGGAACCTGATGACCTCACAGCCTCAGATGGCCAAGCAGTACTTCTCCAATAGTATGCTGAACAATGTCTTCAACCTGTGCCGCAACAGGTGGGTAGAGGAGGGACCTAACCCCCCAACACACACACACACACACACACACACACACACACACACACACACACAGAGTTGCACTTAGGGAGCAGAGAAGATGCCTAAAGGAGGCAGGGGACAGGATGAGAGAGAGGTTCTAGAAGCTGAATCCTAAAAGGACTGTGGCTTCTGCCTCCAGGTCCTAGAAATGCATAGAGGGGACAGTATACTTCTTATCTGAGGGACATGTGGGGCTCTGAACTGCCCAAGGATCAGCAGAGTAAGGGGCCAATTATATGAGAATGTTTTCCTTGTTTTGTATGGCTCTTTATTCATTCAGGGATAGGAGAGCAGCCTCAGAGGGGTCTTCAGATGGGAGGGGGGGTTGAGATGGTCCCACTGTGTAATGGCTCAGGCTCGCTGTCCCTCTTAGAGTTCCTCTTTCATATACTCAGGACCACGCCACATCTCTGGACCCTAAAGAGGTGGGTGGCAAGGGAAGGGTGTTTCTGTGTCACACGGACTCTCTTCTTACAAACTCACTTCCCACCTGCATAGCGCCTCCTCACCTAAGGCTGCAGAGGCTGCCCGGCTACTCCTGTCTGACATGTGGGCAAGCAAGGAGCTGCAGAGTGTCCTCAGGCAGGTAAGAGCATAGCCAAGTGTCCCTCCTGGCCAGACCCTTCCCACACTTGCCCTGCACTAAAGTACCGGCAGATTGGGAAGGGAGCAAAAGACTTGTGCACCTCACAAAGCAAGGGAAGGCTGACTCAAGGGGAGAGTCAGGAGCAGTTTTGAGCATCAGTGAGTGTGAACAGGGCTCTGACCAGAAGATCTACCTCAGGTGTCTTGTGTATGTGGGCTGTGAGAGAGGCCCAGCATGAGAACGCTTAGACCAGTGGTTCTCAACCTTCCCCATGCTACGACCCTTTAATGCAGCTCCTCATGTTGTCGGGACTCCCAACCATTACACTGCTACTTCATAACTGTAATTTTGCTACTGTCATGGATTGTAATGTCAATATTTTTGGAGATAAAAGTTTGCCAGGAGGTTTGTGGCTCATGGGTTGCCAACTGCTGAGTTAAAGCAACATAGCAAGAACTTTGGACAAAGGGGACACCAGCCATTTGGGAACATAGTATGTCCTAGGATGGTTCAGGGTTTAGTTACAGAGCTCTTTCAACTTCAACTCAAGAATCTGCTGATATATAAGCCTTTGGCGTTGGAGAACCACTAAGTCTGTCCTCAGCCACCTGAGACCCAGAAAAGCCAACTGTGGTGGCACACAGGAGAATCTCTAGCTCTCAGGAGAATCTCCAGGAGATTTAGGGATTCAAAACCATCTTTGATGTCTTAGTTAAGGCTGTGATAATACAGCATGACCCAAAAGCAAGTAGGGGAGAAAACACACACAGGGCAGGAACCTCGAGGCAGGAGCTGATACAGAGACCATGGAGGGGTGCTGCTTACTGATTTACTTCCCGTGGTTTGTTCAGCCTGCTTTCTTATAGAACCCAAGACCACCAGCCCAGGGATGACACCACCCATAATGACCTGGGCCCTCCCTCATCCATCACTAATTAAGAAAACGCCCTACAGCCGGATCTTATAGAGACCTTTTCTCAATTGAGGTTTCCTCCTTTCAGATATCTTGAGCTTATGTCAAGCTGATATACAACTAGACAGGACGCTCGGTTATGTAGAGTGGACTACATGAGACCCTTTCTCAAAAGTGAAAAATCTCTTGTTCTTTGCTTGATTTCTGCAAACACAAGTAGGAAGCTCAAATGTGCAAGAGGAATTTCAGACACAATTCACTAATTCACTGATACTCATAGCATTGTGATTTCTTAATCGGATTCCTGTAGCCCAGGCATACGTACATAGTAGTCAGAGAATACTGATATGTCCAGAGTCTAGATAAACCCAAGGATATTACCAAAAGTCTCCTGACCATGCATCAGGCCCCATGCTCCTTGTCCTATGATGGATCACATGTCTGTTTCTCCCCTTGCAGCAAGGTTTCGATAGGAACATGATGGGAAACATAGCTGGGGCCAACAGCCTCAGAAACTTCACCTCTCGGTTCTAAGAAGAGACTGTCCAAGCAAGTTCAACTTGCAGGTGAGAACTGGCCTGCCCCATGGCAAAGGCTGCATCCAGATCACCACTACGGCCACTCAGAGGCTAGGCCTGTGCAGTTAGGAAGAAGCATCATTTGGCTTGACAGGCAGTTGGGCTCTGACTAACAGGGTGAGGAGGACAGCCATGTGGAACCCTAGCTGAGAACATGTCCATCACAGAACATTAGAGATATGTAATGTTTTATTAACACTGGAAGGGCTGGAAGTCTGTGTAGGCCTACTGAGTAGTAGTAAGTCTACTGTGTAGGTTGCCCACTGTACACTCGAGGTGGTGCTATTCACAGGTGGGTTACATGAGATGGCAGTTACGTGTCATTCTGGGTTTTGTCAGCTACAGCACACCTTCCATTCTTATTTCTTTTAACTCTTTTATTATTTTTTATGTGTATGGGCATCTTGCTTACACATGTATCTGTGCACCATATGTGTGCCACATGTATTTGTAACTTTTAATTTCCTGTAATAATTATTGTCTCCGAGGCTTACTGCCTCCATTTGCTAACCTAGGCCTAGTCCTGGAAGCTTCTATTTTTGGTACAATCTTATCTAGACCTGGAATCTTTTCAGCCTCTGAGACTTACAGCTAAACATGCTCACCCTTTCTTTTTTCTTTCTGAACTCTGGCTGGCAGGATCAACTCAGCTGTTCTGTCTCAAACTCCTCTCCAAGCTGACAGATTCAATCTGGCTTCTCTCAGCTTCCCACTGAATTGCTCTGCTTGGCCTCAAACTAACTCTAGCAATCTGTCCTGATCTTTTGGCTCCTTCTCATTCTCTGGTTCATTCTGCCTTCACCTGTGTCTAGCTTGTTCTGTCTCTGCAACAACTGTTCCAGTAAAACTGCCTTCTGCATTGCCCCTTAACTAGCTTCCCTTTCCTCTCTCTCCTCATGAGAGTTGGACGTATCTTATTCTGTCAAAATCTTTCTCTGATCTGTCACTTTGTCTGCCACTCAATTAGACATCACTTTCAATCATAGGTGTTTCCTTCTTCAAATTAATTTTACTTTCATTGTTTTTGATTAAAGGTATTTACTAAGGGCATATCTGTATTCCAGCCAGATGGATTAAAGGTGTGTTCTAAGACTGAGCCACACCACATTAGAAACAGCTTCTTCAGTAAATAACACAATCTCAGGGTCCACAGTGTAATCAAATATCCTGTAACAGCCAGATAACCAAGGAGACCAAAGAGAGCATCGAGTCCTCTAGAACAGGAGTTACAGACAGCTGTGAGACACCACATGGGTACTGGGAATCAAACCCTAGTCCTCTGGAAGAGCAGCATATGTGCTTAACCACTAAGCTATCTCTCTAGCCCCTCCATCCTTCTTAAAACCCATTCTCATTCTGTGTATACTTAGAGTGGACAAGCTTTGTTTCCAGGTGATGATCCTAGAGATGGGAAGCTCAAATCCAATACTGTGTCAAAGTTTTGCAAGCTGGGCATTCACTAGAATCAGTTGGGATGCTGGCCTTCTGTCTTAGCAATTCTGATTTAAGTGAAGTATAGGAACATTTATTTTAAATGGATATCCAAAGAGTTTCTCATATAGATAAGCCAAGAACCACAGTTAAATATTGAGGCAGACACCTTTGAGAAAATGTGAGTGAGAAGCAGTTTGCAGATTGTCTGGTGTGGCAGTGTCTCACTACCTGTAACCCTGCATGTTGCAGTTGTTAGGGCTTTAACCTACAGCCTAACACATTCTAGGCAAATACTCTACCACTGACTTCTAACCCCTAGCCTCCTTTGCTTATATTTTTGCCTTGAGATAGGGTCCTCCTATGTCTCCCAGGGTAGCCTTAGACTTGCTCTGTAGCCTAGGTTGGCCTTGAACATGTGATTCTGTTGCCTCAGCCAAGTAACTAGTGTTACAGGCTTACACTGCAATGCCCAGCTTACACTACACACTAACGTGACAGTTTCTCTTTCTAGAAAGACACAACCCAGCTGAGAAGACCTCGGGCCTTGAGGATGGGTTACCTGCTCCATCCTGCACAGTATTTGGAGACACTCAGATGCAAACAAGAGCATCCTGAAAACTGTGGATGATGGAAATAATTTTGATTCTTTTTTTTTCCTTAGGGGAACTGGCAGGCTATAGGGTTGGGGAGGTTGGGTGGGGGAACTTTCTTGAGTTAAAGGGGCTTACATCTGATGTCAATACTTTCTTCTCTGAGAAACAGTATATATATAATGTGTATAATGTAAGTATGTGTGTGTGGTGTACCTGTGTGTGTTCACGAGTGTGTTCACGAGTGTGTTCGTGTGTGTGTGTGTGTGTGTGTGTGTATGTGTGTGTGCCTAAAAGCATAACCAACAAGTGAAACAGGCTAGGTGTGCTGATCCTTTGCAGTTCACAGGCAGCACAGGGGAGTCTCCGTGTCTCCCTTTGTAGACATGTGGGACGCACCCACATGAAAGCTTTAGCCAGCAGAGCCCCAGATTTGAGAGAGCCTGCAAGCAGCTATTTCAGGAGAAAGGAAGAAGAGCACCTGAAGCCAGAGCTGTGAGGATGATTGCTTGTGCTCTCTCATCTCCTCAAGGAAACGCTTCTCACACTTCTCACAGGAGAGGAAAATTGAAAATTATTTGTAACGGGACTCAGATCCAGCTTGCTGAGTGTCAGGTGATGGAGTGTTTGGGGGGGTTCCAGAGGCTGAAGAAAGGAAATCTGGATGGATAGACCAGGAAAAGGAAGTGTCCTGTTAGGGCATCAGCTAGCCCACATCCCAGCCATCAGCCTCTTTCTTCATGAACCCTGTCTGTCCTGTCTGTGCTCTGTGTTTGTAAAACAAAATGCCTAGTGGAGTGAAGGCAGCCAACCCCAGGACCCCAGATTTCACTCTGCAGACAGTAGTACCAAAAGAACATCTTAGAACCCCATGAGTGAGCCCCCTAGGACAGATGACTGCGGGGACAGAGCTGAGCCTTCCCCCAGAGCCTCTCCTGTCTAGGCTAGAGCTTCTCTGCTGGTGTGGTTAGTGCTGAGTGGACAAGAGTGATCAGGGCCGCACCTCTCTCAAGGAGGATATGGAATGCTCCCTGGCCCAGCCCTCTTCTTACCTCTGTGGCTCAGGGTGGCCTAGTAAAAGATCAGTCCATTGAGGATGGAGAACGTCAGATACATGAGGATATTGTCCCTGAGAGGTGTCCTAAACCATCTATCCAGTGTGCTCTGGCACTGTGAGTTTGCAACATCCTTCCCTGTTTGGCTCATGTGGGAATCTGCCTCTTAATCTCACCTCTTCTCCAATACCAGCATGGGATGTTGTCCCAACACACTATCCTTCCATATGCTTCTTGTGATCTCCCTTGCCAGTCACTGGGATCCAAAGCAATCTATTTCTTAAAACATGTCATTGTCACACTACTCTGTATAGACAGTGTTTTAAAGAAGCACTTAAGGTACGACAGTAATAAAACCTACCATACCCCTGCCCCCATATAGTGTATGTCCACCTGAGAAAGGATACCCAGGTCCTGGGCTTTAGGGACTATCCACTTACTCAGTAAGTTTGAGAGAATCATGCAGGAAGTTCAAGTCAACAAGTGAAACTGTTGCAGGCCCTGAGCAATGACGCTCCCACCCAATCCCCCCCCACCCCCCCCACCCCCGCACAGTCCTCACTTCCTGCAGCCCAGGGGCTCAGGTTTCCTTTCCCTGGGAGGAGGATTTGGTAGGCTCACCCTTGGCTTTGCTTTGGTGAAGAAGCAGGTCTTAGACACCCAGGGGTCAGGCCCAATTATGGTAACTTTTTCCATAATCTCAAACTGGCAAGGTTGTCTCGGCCCAACGTATGCCTGTTGTTCAGGGACAAAATTAAGGGGACTTTATGAATACATTCCTAAAAGCAGGGAGTAAGGGGCCAGTTGGACTCTATGTATCCCAGACCTCTCTTCATATTTTAAATCAAATTTGCCTCCTACTTCCATGCCTAAAACAAGTTACAATTTAGGACCAAACGAGAAGGGACAGAGGCCCTGTGTCTACCTTGACTTTTGGGCTTGCTGCAGAATCTGGAACCTTCTGTCCAGCCCTCACTGTCCTAGCTCCATCTTGTATGAGAACCTTGTGCTGAACAGGTCCAGTTTCCTTGTATGATACACCATGTATTTGCTTTGTCGAAATATAGAAAATCAATAAACTGCTAGTGTTTCTTTGAAGTTTTTCAAGCCTTGAATTATTTGGGATACTATTAAAGGATGACAGGTTTTCTCTTCAACATCGCAGCTTACTGACTATGTATCGGGCAAGGGTTGAAAATGTTACCCAAGAGTATTCAGAGATACCTGTTCCACTGTAGTTCATGTGAACACCATGCTCCAGGATTCGGGATTTGCTGTCCTAATTTACAAATAGGGAGGGCTTAGGAGGGAACCAATATGACTAATGTCAGCCAGGTTACAAGTGGAAAAATCATTGTGAGCACAGCCCCCAGGCATCCAGGCTGTAGGAGAGAACATTTCAAGGGGGAAGACTTAGGAGTTCACATTTCCAGAATGCCTATGCTGCATGGGTTTTATGTCAGCTGCTGAAGATTGTGAACAGAAAGATATGGAAGACCCCAGGCATGGTATGGGCTAAGGGCCATCATCATCTGAGAGAACCAGAGGTGCTTGAGTTGAAAAGAGAGATGCTAAGGAATCCCTGGAGGGGAGATTTCCCCATCCTGGAGGAGTCGTGACTAACAAGGCCTCCATTATAGAATCCTGGGATATCATAGTGTTTGGTAATGGCCAGGGAAAAGGTGCTAAGAACCACCCAGGAGAGGACTGTGGTTCACTGTGACCCACACTGTTAGATCACAAGGCTGGGGGTTCTGGAAATGCTTTGGAGACCTGTGAACTTGTAGTGGTTGCAACAAGCAAATCAAATGCAAAAATCAGTAAGTGTCATCTTTATATTTTTATCAAAATACAATTGGGGATCAAAATCATACAGCTTAAAATATACACAGCTCTGACCCAAACTGAACAGCACCCAGACCAAGAAATGATACAGGTGGCGAGCCGCCCCCATGCCTATCCTGCTTCCATCCCACAAGGAAAACGTGGCACTGCCTGGACTTCTAAGACAATATTTTAACTTGGTCATTTTGAACTTCTTATAACAGGTGCCAGTGCTAAGTCCTGTTTCATTCTAGCTTTAGCTTAATAGCCCATGGGTAAGACTCATCCATTCCTGTTGCATGCCTGGTGGTTGCTGTCCCTACCCAACTATGCCACAGTGCAGAATGCACACATGGCATTGCCGTCATCTGACATCTTTATGTACACGTGTTTGGAAGCAATTTATAGATTCATTGACTCTACTCACTTTCTCAGAACAATTACATATGATTACTGGGAAATCATAACAGTGTAGAAATTCAGTGTTATACTGGATGAGGGTACAGAAAAGCCAAATGACTACAAAAGTCCTCATTCAGCTGCCCTTAGCCAATGGAATGGCAGGTCCTTTGGGGGACATCCTGAGGATCATGGGAGGGCCTTGGGTCCAGAATTGGATAGATAAAAGCAAAAGAGACAGAAAGTACACAGGACTTTCAGAGAGTGGGAAGGAAAAGGCTTCAAAGGGCAGAGGCCAAGCGTCACAGAGCCCGTGTCCACAGAGGTCCACACGCCTGACCTTGAAGCCACTTCCGATTGTTCCTCTTACAACTTGCCTAGGGTGGGGCCAGAAACAATCCCCTCCCCAATCAGGTTTCAGAGAACTAAAACATCAGTCTCTAAAAGGCAGGTTGCTCTGCTGCCAGCACAGCTGGAGAAGATATGGATAGATATTGGGCAACAGTCTTCCCCTTTGAAGAGCCACACAATGACTCTTTCACTTTCAGAACCCTGGGGCATTGTTTTCTATTTGGATCTGCGCTTCACCTTAGTAACCCAGGCAGAGCACAGCACAGAGCATCAAATTCCAATCAATAGATTAAAAAAAAAAAGCCTCAGAGAACATGACCAGCTCAGTCACACAGGAAGTTTACAGAAGTACCAAGTCTGAACCAGACCCAGGCCTCCTGAGTCCTGATACCAGAACATGAGGGAAGACTGCGGAGAAGGCAGCTGTACTGAGCACCGTCAAAGCTGCAGTGAATCAGGGTTCACAGAGCCCGAGACAGCATGGGATTGTACATCCTATGAGGGGTGGTTGCTGTGCAGACATGCAGGAAAATAAAAGTTCTGATTCACAGACTGGCTATCAGATGCCAGGAACTACAGCATGCATCATCTAGCCTAGAGCCGGCTGGTTGGGTTGGTTAGAATCTAGAGCTAATGAGCCAAGGGCTTCAAGGCAAGGAATGTCTCCCTGACCCCATCATGTCTTCTCCACCCTCACTAGTCATCCTGCATATACCCGCTGGGTCAGCATGTGTGTACACCATGGAGAGATAGATTGGCCATCTTGAAGAAGCATGTGGAAGCTGAGGAACCTCCTATGGGGATCAGCAGAGAACCCCATACCCTATGCTTCTAACATGCTCTTGTCTCTGTTAGTCGGCCATTCAGAAATTTTACAGTGGCAGGAGATAGTAGTTGGTAGAGTGATTGTCTAACATGAACAAGACCCTGAGTGCAGTCCATATGCATAAAACTGGGTGTGAGAATATATGCCTGAAGTCCCAGCACTTGAGAAACTGAGGCAGGAAGATTGTAGAAACAGGCAACCTCAGGGGATAGGAGGTGGGGGGACCCTCCAGAATGTACCAGAGGGCTGGGAGGTGAGAGACTCTCAGGACTCAAAGGAAGGGACCTTAGATGAAATGTTCTACAGTGGACAGAGGGAACTTGTAGAACCCACCTCCATCAGAAAGATGGGGCATCAAAAGAGGGATGGGGTTGCCATTACAGGTCAAAAACTCTGACCTGTAATTACTCCTGTCTGGAATTACTGCAGGAACAAAAATGGAGAAAAGCCTGAGGAAAAGAAGGTCCAGTGACAGGCCCAAATTGGGATCCAGCTCAAGGGGAGGCTGCAAGGCCTAACACTATCACTGAGGCTATGTTGTGCTCACAAAAAGGTACCTTTCATGACTGCCCTCTGAAAGACCCAACAAGCAGCCGAAAGAGTCAGATGCAGATATTTACAC